GAAAACTTCAATTTGATGAATAATTCTCCCTTGTTCTCTGCGTGAAGTCGTGTTGTTTTCCTCTGTCTCGTGCTCTTCTTATAGAGTTTTTGCCTTGTACAATCCTTACTGATAAGGTAAGGAAGTTATGTTTAAACAAGGATTCTTTTTTAAATTACAATCCTTATTATACACAACTTCCTTCCTTAATAATATATTTAAGGTTTTCCTTATTTGTATTAACTTGTACCTTTAATATATTATTTTTGACTTTCACAAATAACTCTATTTTACTTGATCTTGAACTCTAGCTTGACTTCTTTTGCTGCATACATTTGCTACTGTTCTTTGCGCTTCTTGTCTATCATCAAAACATGAATTATCGATTCTATTATATTCTATCAAGGACTCTTTTGTTGAAGGATGAATTATTCATCCTTCTAAGCCAACGTACCGGCTATGTATTTTTGTTCTTGCAATAGTTCAAGAGCGGCTCAATCATATTAGTGGCCTAAGATAAAAATTAATGGGGTCTTAAATTTGAATTATTAATAATTTTTATGCAATTTATTTCTTCTAGTTTTCAATTGATAATATAATCATTCTTATTTTAATCCAATTATTTTTCATGATATATACTCCAAATATGTTAAATTTCTAATAATTCCTTCATTTTTCATGAAAAATTTACTTTTTCTACAAATAATATTAAATATTTGTTAAAAGATAATAACTTATAAAGCACAAGTTAATTTTTTAACACTGTCGAGCCACCCTGTAACTATCAACTGTGCTTTATTAAATAATTAATTAATTCATTCATACTATATTTAAAATATAATGTCCTTTAGTTAATTAAATTACTGAAATAATATTTTAAATAATATATTTATTTTACTAATTAAAAATTAAATAAATTTCCAAAATTTTCAAGAAAAAATTTAGATAAACTATTGTTTCATATAACATTTATTTACATTTTATGGTCCGTTAAATATGTCAGTTGTTAATTTTACCGATTGAATCTTATAGATAAAATAATGTCTAATACGTTACTGTAAAATATATTTATGATGATTATTGATGCCTAATAGCCATAGAATATCATGGTAGAAAAAGTAACTGAAATTTCCTCTTAGTTTCAAGATACTACACATGTTAAGAAAATGCAAATGGCTATTCTTCTATTTCCTCACAGTTTTTCAGGTAAGAATTTAAATATTTTTTTAATCTTTTTGTTCTGCATTTTCTATGTTGTAATGGACAAATAAAGATAAAGTTTGAATAATCCTAATGATTATTAATGAGAGATTATGTTTGTACATCCATGATTTCAAATGTTAATTATATTAGATCTGTTCATGTACGTATTGGAAACAGTTTCTCTACCTTCACAAGGTATAGGGGTAAAATTACGTACACGCCCCTCAGATGTGTACCTCACTTGTGGGATTACATAGCGTATGTTGTTGTTGTTGCATTAAATTCGAATATGCATGGATGATTAATCAAAAAATATTTGTGTTTGGATTTTCTTCCATGTATGTTACTAGTTTGGACCATGCAATCCTTGTTCAATAATTACCTTTTATGTTATTAAACGGAAGTCTAGTGCACAAAGTATTTCGCGTTCAAGGGGCAATTTTCTATGTTATTAGCTGCTGGAATTGAGTTATGTACATTATCTAAATGAGCTATTGCAGATCCTGGATGTCCTTTGTCTCAGATGGATCAGTCATTTTGACGCTAGCAATCGTTCAATCTTAAGTGGTACTTCCCTTTGAAAATAATGGAAGCAGAGATGGCGAAGCAACGTTTGAAGGGTTCGTTGAAGGCTTTTCAGATTCATATGGATCCTGAAAAAGAAGCACAGATGAAAGGCATAAAAATAGGTAACTATTCCACTTGAAAACAGCCTCAGTTCTCTTACAATGTTATGAGGGGTTGTGGTCTAGCTTAGTAGAGGCAAATTGAGTACAATTTCGATTACTATGACATGATCCGAGGGTCTTTTGGAAACAAACTATTAGTTGACATGTTTTCTTCATTGTCGCGTTTTCTTTTCATCACTACTATGATTTGTTTGACTTGATCCGATGGTCTTTTGGAAATAACCTCTCTACTTCCACTAGGTAGGGGTAAGTTCTGTGTACACTCTACCTCGCCAGACCTAACTTCGTGAGATATCATTGGATATGTTGTTGTTGTTGTCAAGAGTCGTGACTCGAAGAGTTTGTTGTTTATTGCAGAGATTGAAAACAAGGTAAAAAGGATTGTGAAGCTGAGCAAGAGTATGAACAAAGGAAGTAGAGAGGGGAACACAAGGAGAAGAGCAGAACTTATACAACTTGTTGATGATCTCCATAAACAATACCAGTCACTCTATGCTAAGTATGAAAATCTCAAAGGAGAAGTGAAGTATAATCTTTGTGCCAAAGCCGGGGACGATGCTGCATCTTCATCTTCTTCAGTTTCAGATTCCGAAGCATATCATTCCCCGTGGCAGTTTGCTGGCGAAGGCACCTCATACTTTTCAAACACTACAAATCACGAAAATGCAAGTTTGGACTTGGACTCGTTACCTGATTCACCAACATCTTCTGTTCAAGAACCAGAATCTCGAGATTTTTTCAAGGACTTGAACAATCAAGGCACAGAAAATAGCATGACGGAGAAGTTGATGAATGAATCTGCCTGGTTGAAGGAGAAACTAACAGAAAAAGAAGAAGATATCTTGTCTCTTACCAAGAAATACGAGGTTCACGAGAGTGAGAGATTGGCTGAGATAAAGACATTAGAGGATCAAATTGAGATGATGAAGATTGAGCTTGAAACCTCATGTGTACAAAAGAAAGAACTCGGAGAGAAGTTTACGTGCAAGTCAAATGAATTTAAACAAATGGAAGCAGCATTTCAAGAGAAATCAGATCAATTTTCTAGTCTTCTTACAAGATTCGAAGAAAATCAGACTAACTCAAAGTCGAAAATTGATGATCTAATGGCACAGGCAAAATCTCTGCAGCAAGAGTTGGATTCTTTACATACTGAAAGGAATGAACAGCTTAAGTCCTTCAACAATCAGAAACGCGAGATGGAGTTGTCACTGGAAAAGAAGTGCCACGAGGGAACTGTAGAAGTTAAGGATTTAAACGAAAAGATTAAGTTTCTGCAGCAAGAGCTGGAAGCCACGAGCCATCGTAAATCAGAAGTAGAAATGTCACTCAAAGAAAAAAATGAAGAACTATCCGAATGTCATCTCCAGATTGAAAATCTAAAAGAGAAACTAACAAGAGCCTCTTCGATTGAGAAGGAGATATTAAAAGCGAAAGAAGGCTTACAATTGGAGGTAGACTCACTCTGCAGCCAAAAGAGTGACTTGGAAAAGCAGATAAGGGATATAAACCAAGAAGCTCATCGTTCCCAGTTAGAAAAAGAGGAGCTAACCGATAAGATGAAAGAATTGGAAACCATACTATTAGAGAAGAAACATGAGATGTCAACTCTTCAAAAGAAACACGAGGCCTACACGAATGAGAATTCAGCTATGGCAACACAAATCAACACTCTTCAGCAGCAGCTACGAACCGAGGAAACTGAAAAAGTTCTGTTGCTGTCACAGCTTGAGAAAGATAAACATAACTCGTACAATAGCCTTACTCATATGGAAAAGAAAAACATCGATTTGACCACGAAGATCACAGATCAGGCGAAGTCAATAAGAGAAAATGAAGATATTATAAAGAAGCTTAATGAGGAACATAGACAAATGAAGATCAGGTTAGAAGATTCCAAATCAAATTTGCAAAGTGCTGAAAAGAAAATAGAAGAAATGACCGAAGATTTGCGTAAGAAGTTTGAAGATGGTTTGAGAATCTTGAGCAGGAGGATCCGTGTGGCAGAGCAAATGCACCTTGAGAACAAGGAGTGGTATCAAAAAACAAGAGACTCGTACGAGAAAGAAAATAATGATCTAAAAGAGAAAAATTCAAGGCTACAAGTTGGGGTTCGAGGCATTAAGGATATGACACTGACAGCAAACGATACGTTGGCTTCACTAGACACAATAGCTCTAAAATTTGAGGAGTGTACTGGTCATTTCTTTAATCGAATGTCAAAGGTTTCTTGTGAGCTGAAATTTGTAAAAGATTGGGTTATGAGGAAAAACAAAGCAATAGTACATGTACAAGATGATTTAGACTGCTTACTTGAACAGTTGGACATCAAGGAAGCCGAGATATTAGTGTATAGAGAGAAGGTTTGGAAATCAGACAATAAGGTTAGGGAGTTGGAGAAAATGATAAAGGAAAAAGACGATAGTATGTTGGCTCTCAAGGAGGAAAAGAGGGAAGCTATTCGACAGTTATGTATTTGGATTGATTACCATCGAAGTCGTTCTGTTTATTACCAAAAATCACTTTCTGTCTTTGGCAGCAGAAAGAACCTTTAGGATTCTTCATCAGTATATTGTTAGTTGTATGTCTGTCGAAAAATCATGATCAAGGTAAAACAACTTCGACATGTTTAGTGTAAGTTTTGATTTCTTTCTTCTTGTTATAACAAGCAGCAGTAGGCACTTGTGAATTATCATCATCTTTAGACAAACTTTTCATATGAATGTGTGATATAACCAAGTTTGTTATTACTCAACACAATCCTATTTCTTAATCAATGTGCCACAAAAATGTTTGGCATTTTACGCGGCTAGAATCTGAATTAGTTGGGGTCGCAGTTCAGATACCAGAAACCGAGTGGTAAACTAAGAACAATACTTTATTCTGTTGCTGTGACTGTTGCTTTAGCTTATTCCTAATACTGAAGACTATTATATCTTTTTCTGTTTTGCTCGAGATTTGTGACCTTATAATTTATTAACATGGATTGAGACTTGTGCAGATTATACAAGCAACCAATTTAGTCAACTTAAATTGAGGACTTATAGATATGTGTGAGTATTATTTAAAATTTAAACAAGCTCACAATCATGTGCAGCAGCTCTATATTAGATCTCAAAAGAGAAACTCTGTTTGTCTGGTTTTGACTTGACACGGAGTTTAAGAAAGTAAGAAAATGTATAGATCGCTTGTGCTCTTAAACATGTCACATTGAAAATTATTATAAAAGATAGAAGGCATTGTTTTTCAAACGGACTAAAAACGAGGGAGTACAACTTAATAAAGAAATGAATCATGGTACTCTTTTTTTTCTTCAGAAAAGGAATTGAGGTTCTTGGTATTGAACTGTCATGGCAAAAGATCAAACTGGTTTTTCCAGTTTTCGATTTTGTTGCTGGTTTCTTGTTTTCTTCTTTGCCTTGTCATCTATTCCTCTACTCTACTGGCCTTGTTTCTTTGGCTATGGCTATTCCTATATCCAAATGACAACGAGCAACAAAAATGGATCAACTAATCTACTGAGATTCTCGAAAGCTTGGAATCATCTTGACTTTTCATCACAACCACCTCAAAGACTCCTTAAAATTGCTCTGTTTGTCAAGAAATGGCCAGATGAAAATAAAGCTGGAGGACTTGAACGACACGCCTTAACACTCCATCTCGCCTTAGCTAAACGAGGCCACGAGCTTCATATCTTCACAGCTTCATCCTCCAACTCATCATTCCCTTTATATCCACATTTTCACATCTCGAGGCCTACTGCTGCCGGATATCTTGACCAAGCCGTTGTTTGGAAGCAATTTCAAGCAGAAAACGCGACAAAAAGGCCCTTCGATGTGATTCATACAGAGAGTGTAGGCCTTAGACATACTAGATCGAAAAACCTGAAAAATCTTGCTGTTAGCTGGCACGGAATTGCCTATGAAACTATACATTCTGATATCATACAGGAGCTTCTCCGAAATACTACTGATGATCCTGTAAAGTCACCTGCTTTGTCTGAAAGAATGAAGAAGGTTATTGAAGAGGTAAAGTTTTTCCCAAATTACGCTCACCATGTTGCCACGAGTGATCATGCTGGAGATGTACTTAAAAGGATCTATATGATCCCTGAAGAACGCGTTCATGTCATACTAAACGGTGTCAATGAGGAGATATTCAAGCCTGATGTTTCAAAGGGCAGTGCTTTCAGATCCAACCTTGGAATCCCGGAATCAAAGTCCCTAATCGTGGGGTTAGCCGGGAGGTTAGTTAAAGATAAAGGACACCCTTTAATGTTTGAAGCCTTACAACAAATTTTCAATGAGAACTCAACATTCAGGGACAATGTCATTGTTCTGGTTGCTGGAAATGGTCCATGGGGTACTCGATACAAAGGCCTCGGATCGAATAATGTGATGGTTTTAGGACCATTAGAACAGGATCAACTAGCAGGATTCTACAATGCAATAGATGTATTCATAAACCCCACATTAAGAGCTCAAGGATTGGATCACACACTATTAGAAGCCATACTAACAGGTAAGCCTTTGTTAGCAACGAAACTCGCCAGCATTACTGGTTCGATCATCGTTAGCCAAGAAATCGGGTATACATATGCACCTACAGTAAGGGAATTGAAGAAAGCTTTGTATAAGATTTTGGAGGATGGAAGGGAAAGTTTACAGAAGAAAGGAAGATTTGCTAGAAAGAGGGGTTTGAAGTTGTTTACTGCTACCAAAATGGCTGCAGCATATGAAAGACTGTTTCTTTGTATCTCAAGTGATGAAAAGCAAGCACATAACTATTGTATGTACCAACCTCAGTAAGGGTTTCTGTTACGATCAAACGCTTATCATCATTGTCAAAAAAGTATACCTCATGCAACATGTTGCTTTTGAGAATCGAAACGTTTATCATCATGTTAAAAGTTATAGCTGATAGCAAGAGCTAGCGCAATATTATTTTTTTAATTAAGTTCATCAAGCAACCATCATGTTCGATTAGACATGATGTAGCGTTACTCAAAAATCTAAAAGTTAAAAGTCATGATAATTAAAAAAATCAAAATAACTAAAAGATGTAATGATAAAATTACAGTCGTCAAAGATCAAATTGTTTGAATTTCGAAATCCGAAAAGCACTCCATAAATTGTGTGTGGGGAGTAATTATTTTTATTTTGATGTATTTGTTCCCCATTAAGTTATTAATTTAAGGGATAATTGCTTTGGGTATATTTGAAAAAAGTCATTTTATATGCTCATCTATTTTTGAGAAGAAGTGTGATTTTCTTAAAATCATTGTGAATTTTTTGTTAAATTAGATGGGAGTATGAAAGATTAAATTGTATTAATCTTGATTCTAGCACATGCTATGTAACGACCTGTTAGTCGTTTTGAGCAGTAGAGTTTATTTCTGGTAATAACTGTCTGGGTCGACGGATCCCACGACGGACCGTCATGGGCACGACGGACCGTCGAGGGTGTCTCGTTCCAAAACACTTAGAATTCTGAAAAATTGGGTACTGAGAACAACTCTCTGAACTTCGCGATGATATGGCAGGACGGACCGTCGTGGGCACGACGGATCGTCACAGGCCCTTTAGTGAAATTCAGTCTCTGAACTTTGTGACGGAAGCAGCAGGACGGACCGTCGCAGGCACGATGGGCCGTCACAGGCTGCGTAACCCTGACTGGGTCGGATTTCTGTTAAAAGTTTTAAGGGGCGTTTTGGACTATTCCTGCTTATAATTATAAATTTAGGGGTTTAATGTTAATAATTCAATTACTTGGGGGTTAAAGGAGATAACCTTGGAATAAGTAATGGGTTACTTTAGCATCTTTTATACTTAATTATATGGTAATTAGGATAAAAGAAAAAGGGTTTGAATAAGGAAAAATAGAAAAAACAGACAGAGAGGGAGAACGATCGAGAGAAGAGAGAAACGAAGAGGAAAGCAAAGGTTTTGGGGGATAGCTTGCTTGATCGCGAATTCTTCGGTGGAGGTAGGTTATGGTTTTATGTTATTCCGTAGTAAACTCTTAATAGCGAATGATATGTATTGGGTAGTATTGTAAAGTCTTCTATATGCTTAATTGTGTGCTTGCATGATGTGATTATATATAATTGTGATAAAATAAGCATGATGAGGCTGTTGAATCTTAAATCTTAAAACCTCTTTGTTAATGATGATGCCTTGGTATAAAAGAAGGCTTGATGAACTAAAAGAATGAGGTTAGTGGATCGGGTGTCACGTTTCGACACCAGGATAGTATTAATGGATAGGGTGTCACGTTCCGACACCAGGATAGTATTAATGGATTGGGTGTCACGTTCCGACACCAGGATAGTATTAATGGATCGGGTGTCAAGTTCCGACACCAGGATAGTATTAATGGATCGGG